TAACTAAGGAATATCAATAAAGGTTTAGCTTTTTGGCCATCTAGTTAGAGAAAGAACATGCCTCTATCATTTCTACAAAATATATCACAAACCATTTAAATCAAGAAACAAAGCAAGTTCTAGAGTATCTCAACAGTGGAATGCACACTCAATAAAAATTTTCTGTATAGGTTCAAAACCTCACGGCTATGAATGCACAGTAATTCCCCTATTCTTTTTCTCAAACAATTTCAATATCAACAATATATTCAATGAATCATGTCACTTATTGCAATGATGTTCATAAAAGTGAATATGTATAAGTGCATCATCATGTTCTGAATCAATTTCTAATTTAAACTTTCCGCCATTTTTCTAATTAAAACACTGAGAAACTTTGAAAAAATTTCAGATTTTTCACAAAAAATATTGGCTTAAGGTTTTCCAACAAAACAATTAAAATTATCTAACTAAACCATGAAAAACAAAATTTAAAAAAATTGCATGAAAAATGAATTTGAGATAGTTCTCTGTCTTGACCAGAGATTCTGTGTATACTCATGAAAATTCCTCCGGTGTCAATCCAATGTGCTTAGATGGAACGCGCATTCTCCATTCCCAGATTTAAATTTTTCTGTCCTCAAAAATAGATTTAAATCGAAAAATAAATCGTGTGCAAGCTAAGCATAACTAGTCGCTCATTCTGAAACACCATGAAACAATCTAACTCATTAGTCATAAAGCACTAGTATGAAACATGTCACAGGGTTAGCATGTCAAACAAAAATGCTAATCTCAAAACATCAAAAGAAAGTACGAGGGGGAATGGGAAAAGGATGTTTCAATCGTCTCGGTCCTCCTCCTTAGCATCTCGGACAATGGTCGGGATCATCTCGGTGTCCTCATCCTCTGCAGCATGTGAAGTGGTGGCCTGAGATGTAGAAGTGCTCCGCCTGACAGCATCAAAAGTGGCCTCCTTATCGGAGCCATCATAAGGTGTAGGCTGGAAAGGTGGAGGTCCATGACCACACGTGGTTTGGAAATAATAGGCCTTTAAAATTTTTGGGCCCGCGTTGGAGCGTTTTGGCGCCCATAATGCACGCTAAAACCTGTGTATGCAGGGGCTACCACCTGTGAAAACAGGAGCACATTTTGGCGCCCAGGAGCACGCCAAAACGTGCTCTTTGAATCCCAATTTGCTCATTCCATAGCGTTTTGGCGTGCTTGTTGCACGCTAAAACGCTCATAGGCAGGGGATTTTGCTAATTTTGGTCATGTAGCACATTTTAGCGTGCATGTGGACGCTAAAACGTGTATAGGCAAAGGTAATTTTTATATTTAAGCTTTAAAATTCCATACCTTAGCCTCTTGATTCATCGTTTTCGCTTCCTTTGAACTCAGTCATGTCCTTGACCTTACTTGTCTGTCTCTTTTTGCTTTTTCTTTTTCTTTGGAAAAATAAACTAATACTAAAAATTTAAATAAAAAGCAGTAAACTACGGGTTTTCCTACCCGTCAGCGCTTGTTTAACGTCACGAGCCTGACGTACCTGGCTTATGATCATGGTGGCTCAAAGCATAAGCTTGGTGATGACCAAGCTCCATCATTCAGAAATTGTGTCCTACCATAGTGTTGTTCTGCATATGGATGAGGTAAAGTAGTCTCAGGAACTTTGAATTTGGTATTTATATGTTTTCCTTTGCTACTGGGCTTCTCCATCTTAACCTTTGGCTTACTTTCTCGAGAAGACTCCTCATTGTGTTCTTCTTCACCTTTCTTTTCACCAATGTAGTAGACTTGATCTTCCGGTTGAGCTATAGATGAGGGGACTTCTTTGTCAAAGAACTTGAAAGTTACTTGCTCTCTGTTTACCCGTAATATCAGCTCACCTTTAAGTACATCAATCAGTGCTCCTGAAGTTGCCAAGAAGGGTCTTCCAAAAATCATAGGAATTGTGGCATCTTCTTCAATGTCAAGGATGACAAAATCAACAGGAATGATGAACTTGTCAACCTTATCCAATATGTCATCAATGATACCATAAGCTTGCTTTGAAGAGCGGTCAGCCAGTTGCACTATCGTCTTTGTGGGCTTCACTTTGGTTATCCCCAGTTTCTTCATCATGGAGAGTGGCATGACATTGATGCTAGCTCCAAGATCACATAAAACATTGTCTACTTCCATCTTGCCTATAATGCATGGAATGTTGAAGCTCCCTGGATCCTTGACTTTGGTAGGTAACTTATTTTCGCTGATAGCATTACATTCCTCCGTCAGATTTACTGTCTCACATTCCCGCAACTTACGTTTCCTTGACAATAGATCCTTCATAAACCTTGCATATTTGGGCATGTTCTCTAAAGCTTCAGCAAAAAGGATGTTGACTTGCAGCTTCTTGAAGATGTCCAGAAATTTGGTGTATTGTTGTTTCTGGACCTCTTGTTTCAACCGCTGAGGGTATGGAACTTTTGCATATGGAGACGGGTCTGCCACTTTTGGTTGCCTGTCCAGAGCTTTCTTTTTCTCCCACTTGAACAGCTTCTTCTCTGGAATGCATTTTTCAGCTTCTACCTCATCTTCTTCTTTCTCTTTCTCAACTTCAGGTTCAGCTTCTTTCTTCTTTTCAACTGGTGGCTTTTCCACAGGTTGAATCACTGTCCCACTCCTAGTGGTGATAGCATTGCAATGCTCCCTTGGATTGACAACTGTGTTGCTTGGAAAAGTGCCCTGAGTTCTTTCCGTGAAATGTCTTGACAGCTGACCAATTTGAGTCTCCAAGTTTCGGATCGAAGCTTCTTGATTCCGGAACGAAGCTCTTGTTTCATCTATGAAGGCATCTGCATGTTGAATGTAGTCGGATGTTGTCTTGGACAACTGTGCAAACGCCTTTTCCCACTCGGATGTGGTACCTTGAGGTTGTTGTTGCAATGGCATAGGAGGATTCAACTGGTAGTTTGACTTGTAACTCAACCTAGGGTGTTGGTTGTTATTCTTCCACCCTTGATTACCATATTGATTCATTCCTGGATTGTTTGAGTTCTTTTGATCATACCAGAGTGCATTAACCTCCGCTGGTTGCTTTTCTGTGTTTCTGATGTATTCACAATCCTCAGTTGCATGAGCCTCCTGACAAATATCACATTTAACGTTAGCACTAGAAACAGAAGAAACTTGAGAATGATTAAATTTCTTATTAAGAGCATCTAATTGTTCTTGTTGTTTCTTGTGCATTTGTAGCATTTGTTCATTTTGGGCTAATATTGCATCATAGCCTTCAAGCTTCATGATTCTTGAACTTCTGGGCGCAACTGGAGTATGAGCATTGTCAAATTCTTGAGATGCTAATGATTCCAACAATTCAAGTGTCTCATCAAGAGTTTTTGTTTTCAATGAGCCTCCTGAAGCGACATTTACCAATGTTCTTGTGTTGGCTGTCATCCCTTGGAAAAAGATTCTTGCCTTCTCCCATGCTTCAATTCCGTGTTGAGGACACTTCCGGAGTAATCCTTTGAATCGTGTCCAAGCCTCGTACAAAGATTCGCTTTCTTTTTGTTCAAAAGCATTGATCTCCGCTTTGAGCCTAGCCATCTTTGAAGCTGAGAAAAATCTGGCCAAGAATTTAGCGGCTAAGTCATCCCAACTGGTTATGCTTCCTTCAGGTTGAGACTGCAACCAATCTCTTGCTTCATCTTTCAGTGAGCATGGGAATAGCCTGAGCAATATAGCATCACGAGAAACTCCATTTACTTTTAATGTATCACAATAAAGTAAGAAGTCATCAAGATGACAGTAGGGGTTCTCTGTGCTTCCTCCAGCGAACTGTTCTTTTTAAATCAGTTGTAGTAATGCCAACTTTAGTTCAAAGTTGTTAGCCTCTATTTGGGGTCTAACAATGCTCGCTGTCTGTGGTGCTCGAGCTGGGGTCATGTAATCCCCCAATGTCCTTCGAACAATTTGATTGTTGTTTTCTGCCATTGGTTCTTCCTTAGGTTCCTCTTTTGGTATTTCCTTTGTCTCCGTAGAAATTGACGCTGTTTTTGTTTCTTTCGCTTTCTTTGCTTTTGCGTCTTTCCTAAGTTTCCTCTCTGTCTTTTCTATCTCAGGATCAAACTGCAAGAGTCGCGGGTTAGAAGTACCTCGCATAAACTAAGATTGAAAAGATGCGGAGAGAAAAAAAATAAATAGAAAACACAAAACAGAAATTTAAAGAAACTAATGCAGAAAATTAAATATGAAGAAAAGTATGCAGAATTTTTGGATGCAGAAAATGTTTTTATGATATGCTAAAAGTGTAAAAAAATAAAAGTCCAATCTAAAATTTAATTAGTTACTTCTGATGTTGAAGAATTCGATCCCCGGCAACGACGCCAAAAACTTGATAGCGAAACGGCAAGTGCACCGATCGTGAAAGTAATAAAATGTATTGAGTACGAGATCGTTCCCACGAGGATCAGAATTTCAAGCACTAGTTCACTAATCGCGTTTTAGTTGGACAATCAAAGGTTTGGTTTGAGAGAATGGTGAATTTAGATGAAGAGAATTGTTGTTCAAAGAACTTAAAATTAAAAACAATTAAGAACATGCAATTATGAAAATTCAGAATTAAAAGAATGAATGAAGATGATGATGTTTGATTAAGATTTAAAACAACCGTAGTTAAGGTTTCGACTTCCCCAATATCCTTAATATGTTATGAATTAAAAAGCCAAGAATTTGTTTCTTAATATATTGCCAATCAATTCTATCTACGTTAATTAGGGTTCAATTCCTTGTTACCATAAATCTATGTAATCTTGAAAGAACTCTAGTTCCCCGATTATTCCCCAAGAAAACATGCATTAAGATCAAGAATTACAAGATTGCATAATTACCCTATGTCTATTCCTATTCCTATTCCTAGATCACAAGGATTATGATAAATTATCAAGTCAAGGTTCATGCACCAACATCCCTATTGTCATACAATTTTCCAAAATCATTCTATAAGGAACAAACTCATAGAAAGCATTAAAAACAGATAATTTATTCAATTATAAAAAGAACAGGATTCAGAGACAATTTAATTCATAAAAATAAAGATTCAATTGGGTTCCATCTACCCTTAACTACATAAAAGACTACTCTAGCATACTGAATTGAAAAGAAATAATAAAGAAAAGAGAACCCCAAGCCTCCATTGGTGTGATGTTGACTTGGTTTCTCAGTGTTCCAGCGCTCCGCAACAGGATTCCTCCTTCAGTCTTAGTGTAATGCTCTGGAATTGTGTATTGGATCCTGACCCCAAGCTCCTTATTTATAGCTTTTTGGGGTTGTAATCTTCATCTAATCTTCCAATGAATCCATACAAGATTTGTATTTGATTTCATATTTGTTTCCTTTTTCATGTAAAATATTGGAGATTTGGTTGATGAATTAGAGTTTTAAATCTTCGTTGTATCTTTCTTCAATCTTCTCAGGAATCATCTTGATTTGTTTCCGTTTTATTTCCATATCCTATCTGAACAAATCTTCTTTAAATCTTCATGGAATCTGTTGCGTATCTTTTTCCTTTGAACCTTCAGCAGCTCTTGGGTCGTGTTTGGGCGCTCAAGCGCGCTACAGGGCGCTTAAGCGCTATGAATTGCTGAAATTTTCTGGAGTTGCTGCCCATGCGCGCTCAAACGGCCATTTGGGCGCTTGAGCGTGCTCTTCGAATTGAAATCTTGTCATCTTGGGCGCTTGAGCGTGCTTGTGTGCGCTTGAGCGCCCTGATGTGCCCAATTTGTTTGTTCTCACTGTTTCCACGCGCTTGAGCGTCCATGTGTGCGCTTGAGCGTGCTATTCTGAACCTTGAATTGTAATATTTGAGCTTCCTTTGATCCATATTGATCCTTCACTTCTCCGTCATGATTTCTTTTGCACTTTTAGCACCAATTCTTGTGGTTTTTCCTTCAAAATACAAATATTATCAAGACGCCAGCTCAATTTCCTATCTTATGACCTAAATGCCTATAAGCCTTGAATTTCATGCAATCTATGAAGTATTTCTCATATAATTTAACCTAAAAACATGGTAAACCTAAGGTTTATCAACCATGAGCTTAACCTTTGCCTTTTTGATGTCTAAGCTTGTTTAATCCATTAAGAAGAGGAACTTTAACCATTTGAGTAAAGGAATGTGTTTTTGGGTTCATAACATGTTGGTGGTTATCTGTTTAGGGAGTCATTGGACTCCCAATCGCTTTTGGATCCTTAAATTTGGCATTATGCAGAAGTTGGCTCGAATTTCTGCATTCTGTTGGAGAAGTATTCGAATACTTTCCGTGTAGTATTCGAATACTTGTCCTTGGTAATCAAATACTCCTTGCAGGAGTATGGGAATACTTTTCTGGGAAGTGAAGCATTCAGATACCTTTGAAGAAGTATTCGAATACTGGAAGGTATTCGAATACAGCGAGGTTTGGTATTCGGATACTGAGGTATTCGGATACTGGGGGAAAAAGTATTTAGATACTTGTGAGTATTCGAATACTTTAGTGAAAGTAATCGAATACTTTCTGGAGAGCTAGAGTATTCGAATACTACTCGTGGAGTATTCGAATACTTCTTGCAGAAACAACATGTAATGAGTTAAAATGAGTAAGAAAGACGTAATCACTTGTGTAATCTGAGCTATGATTATTGATGATTAATTATGGTATGGGCAGATTGTGATTTTTCTGTTTGTGGGCCTTGAGCTTGTGTGGGCCTTGAGCTTGTGTGGACTCTTGGCATTGGATAGTTAGCTTGCAAGGTAAGCTTTCATGTCCTCGGTTTAGCCATTGTGTAGTTCCACCGTGCCCCATGGGGGAATGGTTATATGCATGATGTGTTACATGCTTTGATATATTTGGAATGCTGTTGAGCTTTATGTGTAATGGCTTTTAATATGCATGTGTTGTTCCATCTTGACGGTAAGCCTGAGTATGTGGCGTCATACAAGACGGTGATCCGGGGTGGATGAAAGTAGCGTCTTGCACTATGTGTGGGTATTTGGCGTATATAAATCCTGCATTTCTCTGGCCAGTAGAATAGGATTGACACACATGACATGATTATCTACTGCATTGCATTGTTTCAGAAATGATATTGGTGAACTGCTTTTGAACTTATATTGCACATGTAAGTGAGCTTGGGGTGGAAGATCCTTGAGGACCCCTTGCCTTACTGAGATTTCTTGTTTAGAGATCTCACCCTACGTTTGGGGAATGCTTATTTCAGGTTCAGGTAGTATGGGGGCTGATGCTTCTGGCGGCAGGAGGCCAGAGCTTAGTTGATGTTTAGTGCTGCTCATATTATGCTGGCATGCCTGGATTGGATGCTGTTTATGTTTTCCACCATTATCTTTATGTTGCTGTTGAGTTGAGACTTATGTGGGCTTTGTTGCCTTATTTGGGGTGAGCATGAGAGTTGTCCATGCCACTATGTTGTTAGTACTTTTGAGTTGAGTTGTATAAACTGTTAGATGGTCCGGTCTACGTTTTGTAGTTCCGTGACTAGAGACTCATACTTATGTTATTCTAATTAATGAGGTATTCCAGTTAGCTGTTTATTGCAATGTACATACACGCGATGTTTTGAAAATGGTTAAGTAATCAAGTTGGTAATGATTAATGACATCATAATTGAAAAGAAAAAGATATTCTGCATTTTTAATTAAGCGCAGCTTAATATGATAGTGATAACATTACCGGATATATACGAGGTGTTACATTTATGGTATCAGAGCAATGGTTCGAGGGAAAAGCCTGTATGTATTGCAATAGCTAGGATGTTTGGTTGCGTCTGTCTTGTGTGTTTACTCCATCAAATTTTATTATGATAATGCATATGTGATCGCATTGCGTGGGCCTGACCAACTCATAATTTGTGTAACTTGTGCAGAGTCATGGTAAGTTCCGGGAGAACACGAGAGACTTCTAAGGATCAACTCGATCCTATCCTGACTGCATTGGCTGAGATGCAGGCGGCTAGGTTAGCCGATCAGGAGGCCACTAGATTGGCCAACGCGGCAATAATGGACGCTGTTCGCGAGGCGAACCGGATAGCCACAAAAGATGTTCGTGAAGTGAACCAGAGGACCACTGAGGATGTCCTCGAGGCGAACAGGATGGCGAACATGACGATGATGAGAGTCATGTTGCAGGATATGAGGGCTGGTCCTGCTGTAGGTTAGTTTCCACCGCTGCCGCCTCCACCTAGAGTTCAGGATGAGAGCCTAAGTCACATTGGCAGTGCTACTCATGTCGCTGAGATGATGGAGACCTTGGTAGGGCATGCTGAGGATCGTGATGTGATTGATTGCCGGCTGAATGCTTTCAGGAAGCATAAGCCACCTGTGTTTGATGGGTCTTTGGATTCTATTGCTGCAGCGAGATGGCTACAAGCGCTGGACAAGATATTCCGGGTCATGCAGTGTACAGACCCGCAGAAGCTGATGTTCTCGACTTACATGCTGGAGGGCGATGCCCATGAGTGGTGGACGAACACCTCTCGTGCTTATGAGATGCAGGGTCATGTCATGACGTGGCCATTCTTCGAGGAATGCTTTTTTGGCAAGTACTTTCCCTACAATGCGCAGGAGAGGAAGCAGGGGGAATTTGATAGATTGGTTCAGGGTTCGATGACTGTTGACGAGTACCTGGCCAAGTTTAATGAGTTTGTCAAGTTTGCGCACTTCCGGATGGTTCCTCCTACTCTGATGTTTCTGGCTGCTAAGTTCCGTAGAGGATTCAATGAGGTGATTACTGAGCATATTGCTGGAGCAGCTTCGAGGGATTTTGGTACATTGGTTCAGCAGTGTAAGGACATTGAGGATGTCTACATAGCGAGCAAGGCCAAGAGGGACAAGGTCGACGAGACCAAGGGGACTGTTAGTTCCACTCCTGCTCCTACTTCTTGGAAGGACAGGAAGTTTGCTGGGAAGGGCAAATGTAAACAGTTGGCGACTAGGCAAGCGTCTGGTCAATTCAAGAGGGCTGCTTCACAGCAGGAGAGTTTTGCTAGGCCTCCTTCCACTCCGAGATGTGCGGGGTGCGGAAAGGAGCATGTTGGTCGTTGTGCTTCGGGTCAATTGATCTGTTTCCAGTGTGGCAAGGAGGGCCACTTCTCTAGAGACTATCTGT